TTTTGTTCTCAGAGGTCACTGTGGTATTAGTAGCAGCAGGAGTAGGGTTAATAACGCCTGTACCGAAACTAAAGCCTGATGATAAGGATTTAGGGAGTTCTTCTTTCTTCTCTTGCTGCCCAAGCTTAGATGCTCCAAACTGAAATGGTGCTGCAGGAGCTGGACTGGTTAAACCAGAATGCAGTCCAAATTTAAAATTATCATTCTTACTGTCTTTTTTATCTTCTTCAGATTTAGGTTCAGATGAAACCCCAAATTTAAAATCTCCTATGGGCTTAGAAAATGCAAAGCCTCCACTTGTGGGATTCCCCGAATCTGATGACACACCTATTTTGAAGCCTCCCTGATCTCCAAATTTGAAATTTCCAGTGTTTGGTAAAGTCTGTGAAGGTCCAGAAGAGGATGATGTGATACCAAATTTGAAAGATGAAGCTGCAGGGCTTGAAGATGTGGACGATGTACCAAAGCCTTCAAAGACACAAAACACATAGTAAGGCATGAATTAATGCTCTTATGCCTAGAAATAAAATGCAAACTATAAGAATCAACACAAGAATAACTTTGAAAAGGCTCACTTTGAGGAGTATTAGCAACTGATGTAAACGTGAGCCAGTGTGACCAATATTCACCAATGGAAACACATCTCAATGACCACAACTATCCTAAGATGTCACAGTTCATCCTTCAGACTGGCAGAGATCCAAAGCTTGATATATTTACAAATCACTGGGAGATTTGTAGTAGGGATCAAATTGTCAGTATTTGTCAAAAATTACAAACTGATCCAGCCAACTCTAAAGTTTGGATTTTAATTGAAATAAGACAAAATACCTTAACAATCCATGAAGTAATAAAGAACGAAGAACAGAGGCTATGCTCAATATAACAGATGATAAAATTAAGACAGCGTAAGGATTGCATAATAAAGAACCTTACTCAAGAATGTATAGGGAAGAAGGACTATTCAGAAAAAGACTATATTTACTTTAAATGTCTATTTAAAAAAATTCGGAAAGATAAGAAACTAAGAATAGCAACTCTCTTGGTGAGAAGAAAGAACAGAAAGCAAGGGGGATTAAGAGGAACATTTTCATTAAAAAAAGTTTGTGACGGGCTGCCCTCGGCCCCCGGCTCGGGGCGAGCAGTAGTGGCCCTCTGCCCGAGGCGGGCGGCCCTCGGCCCTCTG